CTTATGATTTCTCTAAATTACATGCTTGATTTAATTCATAGTCATTATTCTGGGAATATTACATATGCATTAGTGTTAAATTCTATCATTATGCTTATAAAAATATAATAAAAATAAGTATGGGATATAATAAAATAGAAACAAAAAAATCTATTCTTAAAAAGGTGAATTCTTTTAGTTGCTTTTGGATTTCAAATATATCTTTTTTCTGTGGGAAGTTTTGTTAGAAAATGTAAGTGGTACAATCAACAAGCATATGACATCAATTAATAAAACCAAGGAGTTTATAAATCATAAAATTTTGAGGAGTTTCACAACTATAATATGTAACTTTGTTTTATTTGTAATTACATTATTTTAAAAATATTATATGAAAAGAAAATGAGAGAATATATGTTTGAAGATCATATCAAACTAATAATGTATTTTGATTACCAGTCTGTTGCATAAAATTTATTTCATATCCTTTTTTTTGCTGTTATATATATATGTATATTTGAAATTTTTATTTAGTATCTTCATTTCTTGTTGTCATGTATGTTTGCAATCTTTCATAAAAAATTAAAAAATTAAAAAAAGAATTATGAATATAAAAAAAAAGAAATCAAGGTCAGGCTATTCATTTGCTTCCTAACCCTTATACCATTTTCCAGTGAGGGAATTAATGTTTTCTTTGACTGGGCTGGGCATTGTGCCAAAAACATTAACAAAGACACATGCTAGATTTGTAGACAGATGCTCACTTCTGATACATCTGGGATGGTAGGTATCATTTTTACTGGGAGATAATTGGCTAAAACTTCAAAGTTTTGTAGGACAACTACAGAGTACAACAAGTTTTATGGGTCTGATGTCCCTTAGTGGCTGGCAGATGGGACTCTTCATCAAAGGGACTGTGAGAAGGATTTTTCTCTAGCCACAATTAATATTCTGTTTTGCTTTGTTCTGGTACTGGGGATTGAACTCGGGATCTTGCACTTGTGAGGCAGGCGGTGGAAACACTGAGCTAAATCCCCAGCCGTCACAACTAATATTTTTTGATGATTAGTTGGCATTCTGGTTCTGTGAAGCAGCCTGGAGGGGAAAGGTCATCACTTTTCTGGCTGTGATGCTGGGCTCTGGAACTCTTGTCTGTTGAACGATTCATTATGGTGGTGGCCTGGCGTCTCCCATGACCTTGCCCTATTTTTTGAACTGTCAAAAGTTGATGTTCTTCAAAAGATGGAACCAATATTCCTATATCTCCTTTGGATCAGTCAGAGCAAGATTTTCTGTCCCTGCCAGGGACAGAAACTGCTTCCCTAAAGCAGTTAGGGAAGATGGACTACTGACCCTTTAAAATCCCTTAAGAATAAGGGACTGAAGTTGCAGGGGAGGAAATGAGGCAGAATGGAATGAATACAGGTGGGTAGAAAGAAGACAAGGAAAACAAGAATTTTAAAAATTGTTCTTTGAATAAAGAACTGCAGCTTTAGAACACAATCCTGGTTTATTTACTTTTTTCCCCCTTTCCCCAAAACAGCAAACCTGGGGAAATCCCTTTCAGCTGAAAAGGGTTCTGCCCATTCTCTTCTTGCAAATGACCCTCTTTCACCCACTGAGAGTAACACTCTTGGAATTTCTCGTATAAACAGCTCATCAAGTATGGGGCATCTGCTCCCACACTCTAAGACTAAGACTGAGACAGACTGAGACTATAGATTATCAAATTCCAGATTTCTACCTTCCAGAACATAAAAGATCCTCAGTTCTCACCTATATTGTGCTTTGTTCCTTTGAGTGCCCACACTCCACTCTTGAGTACATCCTGTATCTACTTCCAATAAGTATTTCTCAAGCATCTTTTAAAAACCCACTGCTGCACAAAAAGATGAAAAGATGAAATAAATACTCACACAATCATAGTGAAAAATCTTACCACCCCACTTTTAAAGAGGTAGATCAACCAAAGAAAAGAAAAAAATATATCAGAGCTGAACCACAACCTTTAACATAGGATTTAATAGAGGTGTACACAACATTCTATCCCGAGAACAGAATATACATTCTTTTCTGAAGCACATGGTATTTTTTCCAACAGAGATCTCTTAGTAGTCCACAAAGTCAGATCAAATAAATATATAAAAATCAACATAGGCCCATGCATACCATCAGATCACTGTGCAATGAAAATACAAATTAACCTCAGAAGAAATTTCAGGTCTGATCTGGCAATGATCTGGTTAATAAATATGTTGTCTAATTCCAAGCTACAGTCTCAACAGATACAAATAACTGCAGCCCTCAGCAAAATATGCTGCAGATGCAGTTTGTGCTGTCTCTGAGCAGACAGAAAACAGGACAAGATGTTACAGAAATAGAGATAAGACTGCAAAATACAGCACAACATATTCCCAGTGCCAAGTTACCTGATAACATCCATATATCTGCCTTCACAGCCAAATGGGCCCCAAACACAAATATTTGCTCTAATTCCTGTATGTGACAGATGTGCCAGACCCTCCTCCCAATCGCCTATAAAGCTCCCGGCTTTTTCTCTGTTTGTCGTTGATGGGCCTACACTCAGGTCAATAAAGTCTGTGCATCATTGTCTTCCTCTTGCTGGCTTGGGTGGTCTCATTCCTCTGCTGTTTGTCACCGAAATCACAGAAGATGCAGAAACACCTGGAAAATTAATAACACACTACTAAACAACCAAAGGATCACAGAAGAAAACAAAGAAGACATTTAAAATAGTTTGGAAGTTAATGACAATGTCTGCACAACTCACCAGATCCTCTCAGACACTATGAAAGCAGACCTAAAAGATTTTGCAATCAATGCTCACATTACGAAAACAGAGCAAGCTCAAATAAATAACATTATGAGATATTTTAAAATACTTGAGAAACAATAATTCAGTATCAAATGGACATTAATAAGAAAAATTATGAAGACTTGAGTGAAAAATCAATGAAACTGAGATAAAAAATAATACAAAGAATCAATGAATCAAAGAGCCAATTCTTTGAAAGAATAAACCAAATAGATAAGCCCTTAAGGAAATTTACCAAGAAGAATTAGAAATGAAACTGTAATTAGAAATAAAAAAGGTACAATTACAACAGACAGCATTAAAAGCCATAAGACAGTAACTACTATGAAAAATTATATCCCAACAAATTGAAAAAATGAATAGGTTTCTAGACTCATAAATTAAAAAGCTAACCCAAGAAGCTTCAGATGTCCTGAACAACCCAATAACAAGCAATGGAATAAAGATAGTAATAAAGAATTGACCAAATAAAAAAGCCCAAGACCTGATAGATTCACTGTTGAATTCCACAAAGACTTTAGGGATGATAAGGGATTTAGCTCAGTGGCACCATGCCTGCCTCACAAGTGCAAGGTCCTGAGTTCAAGCCCTGGAACTCAATCAATCAATCAATCAATCAATAACTAACAAGTTCCCCTCTCCCACATACATCTCCTTATAGACTCCTTATTTTATAAAAAAAGAAAAAGAAGAAAGACTTTAGGGATATGATAATCACCTATATTGAAGCTCTTCAAAGAAACTGAAAGAGGTATGGAATGATTTCAAATTCACTTGTAGAAGCCAGCATAACTCTTAATTCAAAACCAGTTAAATATCCACAAACTAGAGGGCAATATTTTCTTATTGAACAAAGATGCAGAATTCCTTAACAAGATATTTGTGAACAGAAGGCAGAAAATAATAAAAGATCATACAGGAAGACCAAATAAATTTCATCCCAGAGAAGTATGTTTAATAAAAACAAGTCAATTATGCAATACATCCCATAAACAGAAGCAAGGCCAAAGCAATATGATCATATAAATAGATTCAGAAAAATCTTTGAACCCCCCCCTTTATGATAAGAACTCTGAAAAAAAAAATAGGTATAGGAAAACTATACCTGAATTTGATAAAAGTTATTTATGACAAACTAATGGACAATATCTCACTGAATGGGGGAAGACTGAATACATTCACACTGAAATCAACAAAACCAAGATTCCCTCTACCACCACTTTTATTCAACATAATAATTAAAATATTAGCCAGAGGAATCAGGCAAGAGATAGAAATGAAAGGGCTACATATAGGTAATGATGAACTCAAATTATGATTACTTGTAGATGACACGATACTCTACATCAAAGACCATGAATTTCACTGAAAAACTCTTAAAAATAAAATTAATTAATCCTCCTGAGTAGGCAGAATTTCTAAAGATTTACAGAAACTATTCTAAATATTTCACTTAATGACCTTCAGATTAAATCATGTCATTATGAAAGGCAGAATATTCTTTTAGAGACTAAATAATATTCTGTTGTATGATAAATGACACTATGTGTTCAAACACTATTATGGAGTAAGAGATCCTCTAAATGCCATGTTCTGTAGGCATTGTTACAAGGTGACTGGTTCTTTTAAGGTATGCAGTGAAAATCCCCTGCAGTAAACTATGCTTATCTCCACTTCTTTCAGATTTTATGACAGGCCATTTTGGGTATTTTTCTCTTTCTTTCTAAGTAAAAAAGAAAACATGCTTAATTACAATGTTATCTCTCATGACTGTTTCTTCATCTTAAAAATAGAACAAAATCCCAATATTCTTTAGAAATAAATAATTCATGTATGATTGTCATTAGTCACGAGGGAAATGTTTTATTATACCACAATAAAATGCCATTAAGAGGATTATAGCCAGAATGACATAAAACAGCAGCTGCAGCTGAGGATGTGAAGAAAACTCAGTTACTGAAAATACAAGATGGGCCGTAATGTTGGACCACACCCTGACAGTTTCTACAATTATGAAACATAAAGATATTATCTCAGTCCATTGCGGTTTCTAAACAAAATATTTCATGCTTAGAAAATAATGAAAACATTTACTTTGGCTCACAGTTCTAGGCTAAAATGGTAATGGCCTTCTTGCTGACAGAGACCTGAGGCTATCACACAGGGTATCACATGGACAGAGTCTAAAAGTACAGGTATGTCTTCTTTCTCTTTCAATTATAGTACTCAATAATAGTTAACTCCAAAAAACTTATCTATATTTAATTGCCTTCTAAGTAACTCAACTGTCCATATTTACTCCATAGTTAATCTTTCACTAGGTGTTCACCTATTCATGTAGACCACTGAATTTATCATGAATTCTGAATGGAGCAATACATATATAATCATAATTATATCCATATTACTCCTTAATAACTATCTTAGTTATATATATGTAATTATGAAGATGTAAGTCCACACAAAAATTTGTACATGTATGATTATACTGCAGATAGTTACATGAGGTACAGATTGATAAGCAGTTAGGAAAGGATTAGGTACAGAGGCTTCTGAGATGAGGCGAAATAGGTCCATAGTTCAGGACTGAAATGGTAGAAACCAGAAACCAGTCTACAAGATGCAGACATGATGGCTAGGTCTACAAGCCCCACCAAAGATAAATAACAGTTCAAAATTGTACTGTAACTACTACCAACTGCTCAGGTAAGACCAAATAACATAACAAACAAGAAAATGGATGACCAGAATACCCTGACTTTTACCCCTATTCCTTCCAGGAATGCCTTTGTTCTGTTTTGTAGTAACAGTTTCAGATAGACTGAAGTGAATGATTCCTGCAGATGAATCCTTGCTACATGCCTTGTTTTAGTATTAGATGAATATTATCTAAGCAACTGTACTTGCGATCCAATAGGTTGATTTTAGCTTCACCAAGATAATCTATAAAATAATTTTACTGTATTAAAAAAGCACTAGACAATACAATTTCATTTTATTAAAAAAAAAGAGCCTCAGTTGCAATCCACTTTCATGCTCTCTTCTGTTCTCAGGATCTTTTCTCTATCATAAGCTTCTTTCTAACTGCTTTATGTATCTTTCCACTGTCTGCTGACATGAAATATGAACTTGGCACATTTGATTGGAGTGCAATTTACAATTACACTTCAACTTAGTGTTCATAAAAGCTAAAATGACAACAAAAAGATAGAAACAACTGAAATGTCCACAAATTGATGAATAACCAAAAATTTAAGCTTCCCATAATATTATTCATTCATAAAAATATATATATTTCTGATAAAAGCTACAATATAAATCTTGGAAATGTCATGCAACAAAAAGATAGAGAGTATAATTCTACAAAATGCCTTAAAATGAATAGAAAATTAGCCATTGAAAATAGAAATAATGAGGCAGAGTTTCTTTAGGAGTAAAATAAAATACTCTAAATAGAGTAGGCTGTTGACTATGTATATTTGTAAGTAAATGAATCAAATACTAAATAAGGTATATCTTAGTAAAGCTGGCTTAAGAGACAAATTTCCAACCAATCAAATATACAAAAAGTTTGGAGAGCTACTTGCAGTGCAGTTAATAACAATGAATAAAAGGAGAAAGGTAGGAAAGAGGAAGAGATTTGAGTGAGTGGCAAATGAAAGGGAATGGGAGCAATAAATGGAAGCATAGAGGAATAAAAGTAGGAAAAAAATGAAAAGGGAAGCGGAAGAAAAATGCAGCAAAGAAAGAATGATAAAAGGAAATAAAAAGAAAAAAATAGGATATGGCAGGAGAGTGGCAAGAAGACAAGTGGATGGAAGAAAAGAAAGAAACATGGAGTGCAATGTGCTCCTATTTACTACATCCCAAGCCTCAAAACTTCTAGGTGAGAATGTGATGGCCTTCTTCCCATTGTTGTGCTGATCCTTGTTCCTAAGGAAAAAAATGACAGGACCGCTGATCTATGTCAAACTCTGCAGAGTCTCCTTGTGATACTTTAGAATTTAGTCTGGAAATAACTGACAAAGGAAACATCAGAGAGCTTGCCAAACACAAGTAAGTTATATCCACAGAGAAGGCAATGTGTGCTCTCTCAGCACAGGAGACCCTGAAGATGGCAGAGAGAATGAAGACAGAAAAGAGGACAATGAGGACTAAGCACCCGAGTACGATTTCTTCACTTTACAGGGCCCCCTCCTGAGGGAAAATGTGGCAGGGAAAATCTTGGATAGCATTAGACACACACAAGGCGACACAGAAAGCTGTTATTGTTACAATACTTGCTATAGCTGAACAAATCCCAGGATAAAGCCACACAGTCGACACTGTCACAGAGGCTGATATGTATGTTGTAACACAGAGTCAGGTAAATAGACAAATAGCGGGCATAGCCCATAAAAATGAGCAAGAATTCACTGTAGCAAAGGGGAAAGAACAAAAACATCTGGTGAGCCCAGCACACCCAAGTGATACATAAGTGGAGGCACAACAGGCTGACCACCATTAATGATGACACCGAACATAATGCTAGAGATGGGAAAAGCAGACAAGAAGAGGTACATGGATGTGTGCAGTCTGCATTCACTTCAGACAGTACCCTGATGAGCAGATTCCTCTGCAACGTGAACAGGTTTATCAGCAAGTACAGCAGGAAGGGAGAAGGCTGGAGCAGCCACAGGAAAGCCAATAAGCCAAAAAGGATAACCTGAGACAAGGTTTAATATTTCTCAACAAACATGAATGTTGCATCTGCTGAGATCCAAAACAGAATTAGGACACAATGGTGAAATTTAAATTTTGACACAGACCAAACAGCAACTTAAAAATTCTATGCTACTGAACAACCTGC